GCTCACTGCTATCAAACTGAAACACCAACTCCATATGGCTCGGCAATCCCTATCACTACTGTGGAACAATGGGAAGTGTTACATGAAGCGGATCCCCTCCAAGCGAATGCAGACAATCATCAACATCATCGACAAACTGTCTACCTGGAGGGGAAAGCGGTCCAAGGGCTCCGCGACTCTGGGGCCACCATAACTCTGGTCAAAAGTCACCTTGTACCCGATCAAGCCAAGACCAGCCGAACTGTAGGAGTCAGGGCAGCCGGGGGAGCAGTATACTGGCTACCCACAGCCCGGGTACATTTGCATTGGGGAGCGGGGTTTGGAAATGTGTAAGTGGGGTTAATGCCACAATTGCCGGCGGAGGTTTTGCTGGGGAATGATCTGGGCAAACTCACCTCTGCTTTTGAGCCCCAGGCACTAGCAACCGGAGAAGCACACCCAGGCCCGCACCCAGGACTACAACACACTCCTGGAGGTCCAGCTAAGAGATCCTTTCCCTCCCTTAGAATGTGTCCCCTGTGCTCCCCCTACCAAATTTGCGGCTGAGGTGATCACTGACCCCACATTACAGGTCTACAGAGACAAAGTCACCTCGGACCAACCTGGGGGGGAGGGCGAAAGATTTGTATGGGATAAACAGTTGCTGTATAGGGAGTCTGACAAGCAGGTAGCTGGGTCAGACCCGATAGTCATGAGGCAGCTAGTAGTACCACAGCGATCTGAATTACTCCGGATAGAGCACGATATTCCGATATCCGGACATTTGGGGGTCAGTCGCACCCGGTACCGACTGACCCAAAGTTTCTTTTGGCCGGGAGTTAGCCAGGAAGTCCATAGGTACTGCAGTACTTGTGACACATGCCAACGGGTAGGGAAGAGGGGGGACCGGCGGAAGGCAAAACTGCACCCGCTACCCATAATTAAGGAACCATTCAGTAGAGTAGCTGTAGATTTAATAGGCCTCCTTCAGAGACCCATCCCTTCTGGTAAAAAGTATATTTTAACGGTAGTAGACTATGCCACCAGATATCCAGAGGCAGAAACAGTGGCTGAGGCCCTGATGTAGATTTTCTCCAGGATGGGGTTACCCAGTGAGATCATCTCGGATCAGGGCACCCAGTTCACTGCGGAAGTTACCCAGCACCTCTGGAAATTCTGTGGCATCAAGCCTATAATCAGTGCTCCATACCATCCCCAGACCAATGGGCTATGTGCGCGGTTCAACGGAACATTGAAACAAATGCTCCTAACCTTCGCAGACACCCATAGGGACTGGGAGCGATTCCTGCCCCATCTCCTATTCGCTTACCAGGAGGTGCCGCAGGAATCGACCGGGTTTTCCCCATTTGAATTATTATTCGGGAGGAGGGTAAGAGGACCCCTTGACCTGATTAGGGAGCACTGGGAGGGAGACCGGAGCGCAGACGGTACCCCCATCATACCAAATGTGCTGGCGTTCCGAGATCGTCTGGAAACATTGACTAGGTCGGTAAGGGAGAACCTCCAGGCAGCTCAGACTCGCAAGCGCACATGGTATGATCGGGGTGCCAGGGACCTTAGCTTCCAGGTTGGGCAGAAAGTTTTAATTTTTATTTTTTTTTTGAATTCTTTATTTTATTTGTGCATATAACAATCACATCAGGCTTACAATGCCACAACAGCTAGGGTAAGCATTTTTGTTAACATGGTATTACATGAGTGAGGCATTAGCGGTTACTGCACATTTTTTATATATTAATGTTGCTTGTCAAGGAATTTTTTTTATTCTGCTTAAAAGGAAAGGTAAGATACGAGATTAGACAGAGCATAATAGCATACATTTAGCACTAGAGATTTAAGCATTGCTATTGCAGAGTATGCACAGGTAGTAGGTAAATACTGTGAGGTTTACTATAAGAGTAGTACAAGCGAGGTATGCCACCCTGAGTGAAATTTAGTAGCATGTGCTAGTGTGAAGATATTTGGGACAACTGGCCCAGACAGCAGATAAAGTACACGTTCAGCAGAAATGTCAAGCTTAGCATACAATTAGGTGAAGAAGGGATGATTTCTCCTGGCTGTGTGTGATGTGAGTGTGAGTTAGATGACCCTCTGTGCACTCAGCCTATGCCCGTCATGGGCAGGGTACAATACCAGGTAATGGGGTGGATCAGGAGGCATATTGACCCAGACAAAATCGATACAGAGTCCATGTTATATGGTTTCTTCTTCGATATCCCCTGCTCTCATCTCCCTGCTTGATTTTCCAGCTGCCAGCTCTATAGACACCCCTTGCTGATGCAGGCCTGCGCTTCCCGCCTTCCATGCTCCGCCGACCTGGTCTTCTCCGCCATTTTCGCACTGTCTTTGTGCCACGCCAAGTTTGAGGCTGCCGGAGACCGGGTTTAGGTGGGTGATCCTGTGTGGTTTGTAGGTCGGGTACCGGTTGTCGGAGGGACAGAGTCCCCCAAAAGTCAGAAAGAAGTTTGTCCAGGAAGGACAGCGTTCTGGACATCACACCTCCATAGCCAGGCGTGGGGTCCTCGGCATCCGCCATATTAGGTCTACCATGTGTGGTATCATTGCCGTCTGAGTCAGATTCGCACAGCCCCAGTAGGGTGAGTGAGCCTCCAGGGTGGGGACCGGGATCTCCCCCGCCGGTCCATAGGGGGGGGGTAGCAGGGCACCATCAAGATTTGGATGTAGGTCCGCCTGAGCTTGGCTGGGAGAGCGGCCGCCTCTCCCTTCCACTATGCTTGCTAGGCCTCAGTCCAGCCCATTGAGGGCTTATTCTGGACGGCTGCTGTTAACCGTTCAAAGCCCGTCACCTTTCACCTGACGTTCAAGCTTCGCAGACTGTCTTAGAGAGAGCACCGGGACTACTGGTAAGCAGCTTAGTTTCACTGATTTGCCCGGAGCTCTCTGAAAATGCATCCAGCCGCCATCACAGTCAGGCCCCGCCCCCCCTATCAGAAAGTTTTAATTTTAAAACCTGTCCGACATGATAAGTTACAGGCCGCCTGGCAGGGCCCTTATAAAGTGGTGGAACAAAGATGTGACACCACTTATATAATTGGCCCCTGCGCAGGAAC